TTGTTTGTTCGTGTTCACTGCTAAATAAGGTCTTACTGCACGTATGTACCACAGTTTATCCATTCACTAGCTGAAGGTTATTTGGATTGTTTCCAGCTTGGGGAGATTATGAATAAAGTTGCTACAAATATTCACATACAAGTTTTTATGGGAAGGTAACTTTTTTTCTGTCTTTAGGGTGAATTCTTAGGCGTAGGATTGCTGGGCTGTATGGTATGTGTGTGTTTAACTTTCTGTGCAACTGCCAAACTGTTTTCCAAAGTGACTGTTCCGCTTTGCTTTCCATCAGCAACGTGCACGAGTGCCAATTGCTCTGCATCTCAGTTTCTTTTGATCCATGTTCTGGTTAGTGGTTCATCTTTTTAAAAAGCCTTGAAGATTGGCAAGTTTCAAGCGTGTCCCTTTGTCGGGCAGAGAATCCACTTCATTTCTCCTAGTCCCTGCATGGAATTTTGCCCATTTATGGAAAAATCAGGGGCAACTTATTCATAAGACTTTCTAGTCCCAACTTCCTACCTTCCTCCATTCCCATGATGTTTAGGAGTGAGTTAATAAATGATGGGGGCAGAAGATGGGGCTTGAAGAGTTTTATGGAAGGTTGTGGGGAGGACAAGCCTCCCATTCCTACCTCAATAGCATTTACCAAGTGAGTGACCTTCTGTGACGCCAGTGGCCATACTTGTGTGCTGCAGAGTGCAGACACAATATTAAGTCATTTAGTCCTTGCAATAACTTCATGGGGCAAGGAATGCTACTACCCCTATTACATGGAGGAGAAAATGGAAGCTCACAGAGGGTTTATGACTCGCAGCTGGTGGACCCTCTGTATGACCACAGATTTGTCCAGATTCAGAGCCCAAAATCTTAACAACTGCCCTATATCACTGTCCTAAATTCTATCCCCAAAGGGTGCATTTAATAATTAGCCTTAAAAAAAGAGAGAGAAGGTGTTGGAAGGAGAGAAAAGAGATTGGTTCTTGAAGGAGTTTTGCATGTCTTTGAATTCTTTTCTTCGGCTTTCAGTTTTTAGCAAAACTTGAAGTAAAAGAAGGCTTGCCTTAGAATCAGGCAATGTGCATTCTGGTCCTGGTTTTCCACTAAAATAGTTTGGGTTTTTTTTTTCTTCTGTATCTTTTTGTTTCTGTTTTGTTTTGTTTTGTTTTCATTCCTTGGGTCCCTTTGTTTCCTCATCTGGATATGAGCAGATTGGATACAAAGAGCTCTATGATCCTTTTTGAATTCCTTGAAGTCAGTTATAAGAGATCTGCAATCTATGCATCCTCATTGGCCCACTGAGAGCCCCCGAAACTTCCAGCCCCAGCATCTGGAGGTGGCCTCAAAGGGGGCCCCTATAGTGGGGTTCCTGGAAAACATTCCAGGTCTTTAACTCACCGTACTTCATACCTTTCTGGAAAAACTACTCAAGTGTCTCCTCAAAGTTGTTCCAGTGGGTCGCTGTTGCATTTTCCTGCCCAGGGTCCATTCCCTCTTCCTCTAGTAATAGCACCCCACTTTTTCCTTGAGTAATATCATTTCTCCATTCTCAGTCCTTGAGGGATTCAGAGACAGGCACATGAAAAGCTGGGGAAACAGCCTATGTTTCCATCCCCACTCACCCCAATCCCAGTGGTTGACTGCTTAATTCCAAAACTTTGGCTGGAGATGCTGGTGGCCTTTTTGCCCCCTGATGAGAAGTGTGTTAGAATAAAGCACCGCAGAACGATTCAGCACTGGGAGCTGACAAGGGGACAATTGATGAGAATATCACCTGAGCCCCTAGATCCACCTGTGCCTGAAATATACACCTTTATTATCCGAGCAAATAAATACACCCCCACTTCTTTGTTGTTGTTTAAGTGAGTTTGATATGAGTTAGGCTTCAGTCATGACGGATTCTTTGACGTTTCTGCTTTTCTCATACACACATGCCCCTCTTTCAGGGTTCCGGAATCCTAGTTATTTTTGATGCTGCTGCTGATGCTGATGATGATGATGATGGTGATGATGATAAAGAAGAAATGAAGAAGAGCAAAAAGAAAAAGGAAGGAGAAGGGGAAGAGGAAGAAGGTAGGGGGAGACTCCGTAAGCCCCATGAAAGACAAGGTCTAATGCAGCATTGGGAAATACACAGCACTGCTGCCACCACTCCCTGCCCCATACCCATCACAAACATCATTCATTTTTCAGAATCCTTCTCAATGCAGAATTCTTGGCAGCCATTGCCAATCATTTCAGCTTGGCTCCAAGCTGAAATCTATTTTTCAACAAAGCTGAAGAGACTTACATTACTGCATTGTGAGTGGTGCCAGTCAGTGGCCTGGGGAGATGGTTTAAATCAAAGCAGAGGATTAGCTGCCATGGCCTGTCTGGAGGACACTAGTTAATCACAAAGACAGATGCAACCCTGATATACCGGCAAAATTAGTAGTGCGAATAGTTAGCCCCGAGCCACTGCCAGGGTTGGCCCCTGGGGAGGGGTCCCCGAGAAAGCATGGAGGTTAGTTCGCTGGCTCCTGCAGCTGAAGTGTGGGCAGGAGGTGGGAGAGAGCTGGCAGGTGCCATCTTGGCCCAGATGGCTAGGCAGCCTCTCATGGCAGCTCAGGGGCCTCAGGCCTGGCCCCACACCCAAAGGGAAGGCTGGCCATAGCATGATGGGTGAGCCCCACCTACATACCAACTGGCAACTCAGGGTACCCAGAGCTGCCAGCTCTGAGCAATCCCGTTTTCTTGGGCATAAACCTCTGTCAAAAAGTGCTGCTTCTTTCTAAGTTGGTGCCTTTCTAATTCCGAAGCTGACGGATGCTTTTCTCACTCTCCCAGAACTCAAAATCAACTTGACATTTCTAAAATTACATTTTGAAGGCAATGAATCTATAACGTGCATCAAAGCCCATGCCAGCTGGGGGGGGGGTAAAGTAAGAAGGGAGGAAATAGAAATGTTTCTGGCCCTTGAATTTGAATGTTCTTTATATATCTGCTGGGGTCGGGCGAGAAGGGGAGGGAGACTTGGAGACCACACCTAAAATGGCGGGCAAGTTTTCAAGGAGCAGGTGTTCTCTGAATTTCCCTGAAGTTTCCAGTGCAATAGTGGTTCAGATGGGCCTCATGACATGAGACAAAAATGAGGGAGACGTGAGACTGGGCATGAAAAGGGTGGGACACCTTTGTCTTCTTCATGCCAGAGACAGCCCATCCACAGCGGCTGGGGAGGCGCCCCAGGGTGGACCCCCCAAAGGAGCCCCCTGGCCCAGCCGGCACACAGGCTGCTTAAAAGAGAGGCAGACAGCAGCTGCTTCTCCTTAAACTGGAGAGGTGGCCGAGAAGGCTTTGTGTGAGCCCAGATCAAAACACGCCCATCAAGAGGGATCAAGAGCTTGACCAAGTGGATTGCAGATGGGAAGGGGAATTGAACCTTTTTTTTTTTTTTAAACAAAAATGTAAAGAAAATTCAGGGAGAAAATGCCTCCATGGGCAATTCTTTCCTTTTACTTTTTGCAAAGCTGGTCCAACGACCACGGTTTGTTCTCCTCTCCCCTCCCCTCACAGACCTGCTTTAAAATGCAGCCTGTTAGTATTTAAAGTGATCCATTCAACATGGAGGAACCCCACACCCCTGGCCCTCCCCTCCCCCCCACCGAGCTCCCTGGGCCTCCAGCCTGGAGTCAGCCCCTCCTGATTCCTCTCCCCTCTGAGGCTGCTAACGACTGTGACCCAGGATGGAACTGGGAGTCCTCCATCTGCATTCCACACAGGGCAGCTCCCTTCAACCATCATTAATCCAGTGCTTACAAGGTGACTCCCGAGCACTGAGGACTAGGGAGACAGAGAAGATGGGGGAATGGAAGGGGGGATAGAGACCCTTTTCTCTGGGGCTGCAACGCTTAGTGGTAGGAGATGCATACGGCACGGGCCCTCACGCAGAGCGTGTGTATGTGCTCATCAGGAACCGGGAGAAGGGCAGGAGGAAAACTGCCAGGGAGCGATCGGCAGTGGGGGGAGGTAGTCATCAGAGAAAAGCCACTTGGCGCTGACCCTGTGGAGCAGGTGGGATCTGAGGAGGCTCCTAGGGTGTGGGTAGGGCTGTGAGGGTGGCTGAGGATAAAGTGG